AGGTGCTGGCCATGAGCAGCCGAAATTGCTGGGAGAGAGACCAGAGGGACAGTGTCAGGAGGGATGGTGGCCGAGGAGCAAGAGGGAGTCCTGCCCGAGGACCCGGAGCTGCCTGCACATCGTCTCGAGCCTCCCGTGCCGAGTGGCGAAGGCTGCTGGGGAGGGTTTTCTTTGTTTCGGAGAAATATTTCTACCCTCCCTCTGCCCCGGCAACGCCCTCAGGCCAAACAAAGATCAGAGCCAAAGGTGGCCTTGGACGGAATGGAAGAACCTCCCTAAGATGCCAAGAAGCCAGGCCACGTGCACAGTGTTCAGGGTATGAAGACACAGCCGTTCCTTTCACTTCAGAAAATCAAAGACCCTCTTTTCAGAGCTGCAGGCCCATACCCGTGACTCTCTAGAGCGTTACAGCCACCAGCCTTGTGTGACTACTGAATACTGGAACTGCTAGTCCAAACTAAGATGTACTGTAAGAGTAGAATACTCACCAGATTTTTTTTTTTTTTTTTTAAATTTTAAGACAGGGCCTCACTGTGCCACCCAGGCTGGAGTGCAGTGGTACGATCATAGCTCACTGTAACATTGAACTCCTGGGTTTAAGTGATCTTCCTGCCTTGACCTGCCAAAGTACTGAGATTACAGGTGTGAGCCACCGTACCTGGCCGCTCACTGGATTTTTAGGATTTAGGATATAAAATCTCTTATTAATAATTTATATATTGATTACACATGCAGTTGCTAATATTCTGGAGTTTTTGCATTAAAAATTTACCTGCCACATCAACAACATGCAAACCAGCTTCAGCCTACTTCCTACTTCCTTCTTCCTGTATGTTATCCTGTTCCTCTAGATCCCCCTCTGCTGGCAAGGGCTGGTAGTGCATGGGTGCGCCACTATCCTATTCACTCCAGCCTCAGGGGCTGGCTCACCTTTGTGCCTGGGATGGGGACGAAGGTCATGAACTCGTCCACATGGCCCACGGTCAGCCAGTCTGAGTAGAGCTCCACGGGCGCCTGCACCTGCTGGGCCTGCAGGAAGTCGCGCACCACCTGGGTCATCCGCCGCCCGCCAGACCTGGAGCAGGGTTGGAAGGGAGGTGGCCCTTTGGAAGGTTGCCCACCGTGCCTGCCCCGCCAGAGGCCTGCAGGATGAGTTCGACTTCTGGAACCCAGCCTAAACCCAGGGTAGCATCAGCAGAGAAGTCACAGGAAGGAGCCTGAGCTGGGCGGAGAGACCCTGGCTCGGGCAGGAAGGCGTTTGAGCCCAATGGGAAAGAGGTGTTCATTGCAGCCACTGCCCGTGTGAAGGGTGTGGAGGCCGGGTGTCAGTTCCCGGGGTGCCAGTGAGTATGGGAGGCCATCCTCTGTGCACACAAGTCCTGTCTGGACTGCTGGAGGGGGATAGGGCACAGGTTGGCTCCAAAATCTGCCCTCGCCCATGTGCTTCTTTGCTGCATTAACTTGGACTCACTTTAATCAGTTCAAGAGACACCTCCTCCAGGAAGCCCTTTCTCACGTCTAGAGTCCCCAAGGTCTTCAATCTCTCCAGTGCCCTCAGAATATAACCCATGGTCCTTATAGTGGTCAACAGATGCCTTTCTATCTGGCCCCTGCCTGGCCCTGCTACCTCACCTCCCGTCCTTCCTCCTGCTCTGTCTGCTCTAGCCACCCGCTGCGCTTGTCACCACTGCAGGGCTTTGGCCTTGCTGTTCCCCCCTGTTTGGAATGCTCTTCCCCTCTGATCTTCTGATGGCTGCCTCCTTCTCCTCACCATCCAAGCCTCAACTCCAAGTCCCTTCCTCAAAACCACAACAGCCCGGGTGCCCCTGCCTCAGGAACTTCAGCACGGTACCGCGTTTGGTCTTCTTCCTTGCACTCAGCAGCACTCGGAATCGTCTTGTTTACCTGCTTCTGTGTTTATTTTCTGCACTCCCCTTACCTGACTGTGAACTCCCTGAGAGCTGGGACTTTGTCTGTTCTGGTCACTGCTGTATCCCCAGAGCCTAGGACAGCGCCTGGCACAAGGCAAGTCCTCAATAAATATTTGTCTCTAAGGAGCCCTCTCTAAACTCCCCAAGGGGTTAGGGCCCCTCCTTGGGCTTCTCTGACTTCTTCCCTGTCACTCTTTCTTTCTCTGTTCACCTCTCTGTTTCATTAGGGTCTATTTGCATATCTGTGACCTCCGCTGTCTCCTTGAAGGCAGAGGCTGGGCTTCCTGCCTGACACAGGGCCTGGCACTTGGCTGGTGCTCAGAAAACAGGTGCTGAATGAATGAGTGACCATCAAGTGGAGGGAAGAGGGGAGAGTGGGCAATGGTCACTGCCTGAGCCAGTGGCCTCCTCCCAGAAGATAGAGCATCCCATGAGGCTCAGAGGGACTTGGTGACCAAATCCTGGCTGAATGCCCATGTGCAGGTTCCTGGCAGCCCTTTTGTGAACCTGAGGTGTTATGCTCTCCCCAGTAACTGCCCTGACAAGGAAGAATCTGCCTTTTCATTGGCTGGTGGGTTAACTGGGCAGGGAGTAAGGGCATCGTGGACAGGCCAGGGAGCCAGGGACTCATGCTTTTGGGGTAGGGCCATGTTTCTAATGTCTCTTTTATGTATGGGCACCCCTGAGGATTCGCTGGTATGCTCCCACTCATCCTCTCTTGGTAGTCCTTCCCTGGACTCCTCCATCCCTTCCCCACCTGGTGTATAATCTCATCATACACCCTCCCATTTGGGGGAGAGATTTGTTCCTAATTCCCACTAAGATGTAAAAGCTAATTTGTTTTTCTTTCCAAGAGTGTCCATATCTTAACAGAAAGTCGCGGGAGGGGGCAATTCTCCCAGCCACTGTCTCTGTGTGTGAGTAACCCAGGCCGCTGCTAAAGAGAAATAATTACCTCCCCACTCCTGCTGCCCCCAGCCCACCATGGCTTCTCTTACAGAGGAAAGCTGCTTCCGATGAGGATCCGGCCAAGCGGGTATGTCTTGCCGTTCACAGTCACAGGGGGACTGACCTCCAGGTTCCCAAAGGAATCAAGGCTGGTGACAGGCTCAAAGAGCGGCTCCCGGGTCACATAGCCGAAATCTGGGCCCTAGGCAGAGGGCACACACCTGCCATTAGTCTTCTGCAGCCAGGGTGCTCAGCCCCCAAGCCGGACACCCTCTGAGGGCCACTCTTGTACTCCCTTTGGTCTGGCACTCGGTCTCCAGGAGGGTGGCCCACGGTCTTCCTATTTCTACCAAAGGGCAGGGCCCTGGGCAGGGGGAGGCTGAGTGTGTGAGCACCTTGGTGTGTGCGAGTATGAGTGTGAGTGTGTGCGCCTCTGGGTCTCTGTGTGTGCCTCTAACTATCTCCCACACACAGCTACGTGTTGGTGATTTCAGGATTAGTCCTCATTGTGTGCCAGGGACGCTTCTGCTCGTCTCTGAATTTCTCTGACGCTCAGTCTCCTCATCTGTAAAAGCGGCATCAGATTAGGTGACCCGAGGCAGGGTGGTAGACTGTATTATCATTCCTGAGATTTGCTACCCCTTTCGCAGAGAATTTTGCACGCTAAGCCACTGCTGTATGACTTCTTGTGCCTCCCTGTGAAAGGAATGTACTTCCCAGTGTCAGACTTGGTCTCAGGTGACTTGCTGTGGCCAATGAAACATGAGCAGAAGGGACGACGCATGCCAGTTTAGAGCAGGAGCCAGAAGAGCCACTGCGTGTGTCTGCCAACTCTCTTTTCTCCCTGTGCTAGGAGCATGGCTTTTCCCAGAGTGGGGCTGCTCCTGCCACCTGGGCTCTAGAATGAGGAAGGCGTGAGGAAGCAGAGCCACAGATGACCAGCCAGCAGTTAACACGGAATGTGCGCAAGAAACAGGGCTTTGCTGTTGTCCGCCATTGAGATTCTGGGGCTGTTTGTCACTGCAGCCTTACCTAGTGAAAGCTGACCAATACATGCGAGAACAGCAGATGTGGATACACATGCCACCACCCAACCCGTTCCCCACTGGCCATACTTGCCCACTGAGCCCAGAAGCAGCCTCTGAATCCTTCTTAGCATAGAGCGCCAACAAATTGGAGTTGGCACACAGGACATAACCCCATTGACCCACTGGATTTTAAAGTTTCTTTCACAATATTTTGGGTACAAATGTAGGGATCTTGTTTGGGCGCTTGCTCTGGGGCTGAGACTAAGCTTGCCTGAGAAAAATCCAGTGGAGTGGGAGGATGTGGCTTCTCCCGGCTCAGCTGAGAGGCTCCAGGGACAGCTGAGCCTCTGGGGCAGACGGCTGCAACTTAGTGCTTTTTCACCTGAGGGCCCCAGCTGGCGATGTGGGGGCCTGCTGAGACTGGGGCAGTGGGGGCTTTGCAGCACTGCACAGGTGGGCAGGCACAAAGCACGGAGCTTCCAGAATAATGTAGCCAAGGGCTCGGAACCAGGCCAGCCTGGAACACTGAAAGCAGGTGGTGACCCGAGGGGTTCTTGGTTCTCGTGCCTGTGGCACCTGCTGCTGACTGCTGGTTTGACTCTACTCCTCACAGCACTGGGGAAAGTGGATAATAAGCTCTCCAAGGACAGTGTCCAGGGCTACAGGATGATAACCATAACAACAGCTTGTAATGGTTATTGTACCAGGCATGGCACCGATGCCTTATAGAATGCTTTTAATTTTTACAAATCCTGTGAGACTGATAGCATTTCTATCCCCATTGTACAGGTGAGCAAGTTGAGGCTTGCGGAGGTTAAGTCGCTTGCCAAGGTCATACTGCTGCTAAGGGGTGGAATAGGACTTGAAGCCAGGTCCCTCTGACATTCCAGAACTTTAGGCTCACACCATTGGCTCCATCATCTCCCTGTGATGAGGGGACCAGGTGAGCAAATGTCCTCAAGAACAGGTGTGAACCTGGCAACAGGTCACCTCTGAGCAGCCCTAACACCTAACAGGGAGGTTGTCCTGCGTGTGACCTTGGGAAAGCCCCCTGACCTCCCCCTGTCTGTGTCATGCTCTGTCCAAGCCTGTCTCAGCCTGTTCAGGGAACAAGGGTGAGGACACAAGAGAGACTGATTTCAGCCCTGCCTCAAGCAGTAGGTCATGGAGGGCAAAAGTGGGGAGTGAGAATGGCCTCTGGAATTGGAGTCAGATGGTGTTTTTTTTTTTTTT